AGGCTCTTTTCAGTGCTTTAATGATATATAATGGATATCGTAGGGTTCCCAATGATTGGCTTGCTCTAACTCAGAGCATCTGCATTCTGCTTGTCAGTTGAATTTGGAATGGCACTTCCGGTTCTCTCCTGGCTTGCTGGTTATTTTCATGAACCTGGAGATGGGGCTGGTACTTTGTATACTTTGATTAACCTAAGTGGAGAAATGATTTTAAACAGTTTACTTGGTAGATAAAGACATCTTGCTGACACGACAGAAGCTCAAGAAGGAACTGTGAGGGGTCTTCGGTGGTGAAAAGGTGGGACATCCCAGAATGGATAAGCAGCTCTGTGAATGTAGAAGAGAGAAAGAGCATGGGATCCTGGGAAGGTTCCCAGAAGGGAGGAGGGGTTTGAACTAGGCCTTTGTCCCTCATATCAGGCAGCAGCAATGGGTCACCGTGGGACCCATCGGCTGTCCTTATGGTTTGGTGTAACCTTTGGGTCACATTGAGAAATTTTGAGCTTCTCTGGTTAGCGACTGCGGATGCTGCACCTTCATTAAATGCAGTAAATAGACCTTCCACTAGTAGCCTCTTCCCCACAAATGACCCACATTGTTGTCAAGTTAGCAACCACGGGCAGGAAGTAGCAGGAATGCTTCTCATCCACACAGTGGATTTCATTAGACACTTGCCCATAGAGCTGTTTCGGTCAATTCAGCTTGTGTGGGTTTTTAGGGACGAATGGCCTAATACACTATTTCTCATCATTGCATTTGTCTTGCTGTCATCGTGGCCCTGGTAGATAGTTTGCATAGTGTCTCCTTTTGATGCAACTGCATATACCATGATCATAGGGAGGAACTTCTGGCAGGCTGAGGTTTTAAACATATTTCCAAGGTGTTACCAATTTTCTTGAGTCTTTGGTTTAGTGGGCTTCTCATTTAAATCTGTTTGGAAAGCAGGTTCCAATGATATGGGCAGCTCTCACCCTTGTGAACCATTGCTTCGGAGGTTCTATATCTCAGGCATCGTGTAGATGCGGAATTCGCAGGGGTTGGCTGGAAATTAAAATACACTTCTTGGGTTAAAACATTCTCCTAAAGTCATTGATGGGTTGAAGAACCTATAATTATAATTTTTCCTTACACGGGTTATTTAAGGTTGTGCTTGCCTCAGCTGAGAAATTAAAACATTTATTATTCATGAATAATCTCTTTCACGGAACGGTTCTACCAAATGATGATGGATGCACCTGAGATTTGAATGGAAATATCCTTTTCCTGCTTCCATTGATGTTTCTCATTCTAGATCTCCAGCTCTCCAGCCCTGAAAAGCCAACATAAACAAACCATCAAAACCACCACACCCAGGATATCATTATTTCCAAATGTCAGCTGGAAAAGGAACATTTTTGAACTTTTATAGTTAGGCATATTCACGTGTCTCATAAAACTGAACAGTCCTGAAGGGGAGATACTGCTCTAATCGATTTTGCAGATGAGGCAGTTGCCCTTTGCAGAGGTTAAGGGACTTGCTGGGAATCCTGCAACTGGAAAATGGAAGAGCATCTGTGATAAGAACCAACCAACATCTATGGTCTTTCTTCCAACAGTGAAGGCTGGCATTGGAATTTGCACTGACAACTATTTTCCATAGTAAGCATATGAAGAAAGCAGGCAAACCAGAAAGTTTTCAAATGAAATTATCCAGTCTTGTTAAGTGTTCAACTGTGATTTGGGTTTTAAAGCCATTTGCTAGTGTTGCCTATTTCATTATAAATTCCTAGAGGATAGAAATTAGACTTAAAACCTCTGAGTAGGAAGGGTGTGTGAACTTGACTGAATAATTCTGTGGTAGGCAGTAGTGTAGGGGGCTTTACATGCATTGTTCACTTGCTTGGATTTCACAACAACTCTAAGAAGGAGGAGGTTGGAGTTCGTTTCAGTTTTCCACAACCTGGTCAGCAATGCCCATCGCTACTCTTCTGAGTGGTTGGGTGGTGACACACTGTATTAATAATTCAACTAGTTAGTCACTGGCAGAGATGGCTTGTTAAGATTCCAGGGGAAGTGCTTTGCTAGAATCGGCTTTGTGCTGGTCACTCAGACCATGCATCCACTTTTATTGCAAGTGTGTCAGTGACCAGCTCAGCTCCAGTTCTGTGGAGCCTCAGAAGCAAAGGGCAGAAGCCATGGCAGGAAAATACTCTGCCAATTTCATACGGAAATGGAATGACTTCTCTGCCGAGGGATAGAACTGCAGATTGTATTGTTAATTCTTCTTCTTATCAGTCTTCTCCAAAGGCGTGTAAAAGCCAGGGAAACCCAGCATTTGGAGCAGAGTAGCCCAGTCTTTGGTTAAAGGCTCTGTGTACTTCCCAGGCTATTGTCGGGCTGCTATTCAGCTGGGATTTGAATGGTGGTGGTGTGATTAGCATGAGAGCAAGTGTATAATGTAGGTCTTTTTTCCCCTTTTCTAAAAGAAGTTTTGTGGCATTTCTTTTTCTGACAGAGTTGGCATGATGCTTTGACAAACACAGACCAATGGAAAACTTAAACAGGACCCCGAGAAGGCCCGTTTGTACAGAGCCTTCCCACTTAGAATGCAGAGCAGCTGGCAAGAGACACCTCAGATCATAGGAGTCGTAGCAGGGGCTGTTCCTCCACTGTGGACCGGTGATGAATGGGAAATACAAGACCAATGGGGAAGTGCACCCTGGGCTCTTGACTATTCTCTGTTGTCGGAAACTACAGATGAGAACATTCCTGGGACTCAGTTGTCTAAATTATCTGTTCCTCAGTATTTATTGAGATAAATATAAAGCACTGAGGGAGATACAAGAAACACCAGAGGTGGCTCCTGCATTCACGGGGCAGGTGAGAGGATGAGGAAATAGACATAACCACCCGCAGATGGAGAAAACTTGGTCAGGTGTCTTGAGCTGGTCACTGAGTGACATTTTTTAAAAGTTTAAAAAATCTAGCTAAGGGCTGAGCAGGGTGCTGTTTCCAGCTTTGCTACGTTAGCTGGGTGACCCTTGGCAAATCGCTGCCACTTTAGGCATGATAAAGTGAGGGTGATGATTCACTTCCTGCCTACCTCATAGGGCTGTGGAGACCAAAGGGTATCCCATCACGAATATACAGGAAAATGCTCTGAAGCATATGACTGTAAAGTCCTATTTGTGCAAGGGATATAATTTTCTTTTGTCTTCTGAATCTGCTCTCTCCAATCTATTTCTCACCTATTTTAGGCACATGCTATTATACACCAAGAGCTGAAAACATTTCTTTACAGGTTTTTCCCTAGGGTGATGGTTTCTCCTGTGTATATCCTTTTTTTAAAAAAAATTTTTAATTGATTTCAGAGATGAAGGGAGAGGGAGGGAGGGGGAGAGAGAGAGAGAGAGAGAGAGAGAGGAGAAGTATCATCAATGATGAGAGAGAATCATGGATCAGCTGCCTCTTGCAAACCCCACACGTGGAATCAAGACCAAAACCGGGGCATGTGCCCTGACCGGGAATCAAACCATGACCTCCTGGTTCATAGGTTGATGCTCAATCACTGAGCCACGCCGGCTGGGGATTCTCTGTATATCCTTTATGCAGTGAGTTTACAGGAGTTATTTCTCAAAATGGCAGCTCTGATCATATAGGTTCTTCCCTCCAGAACAGAACTTTTATGACGCCCTTGTTAACTACAGAATAAACGTCTTAGTATATTTGAGACTCTTCAGAATCTGGCCCCCACCAACCCTTTCTACTCCCTGTTTATTCCCTTGTTTCCCATCCCCTCTACTCCCCCTCCATACCTTGTGCCAGATGCTCCAGTCTGTGGCTAGCCCAGGCACTTTCCTGCCATGCCATTCTTTTTGCTTGGTATGTGCTACTCTTGTTACTCAATTCAAGTCCACCCCCTCTGTGAAGCCTTTCCTGATTTTCTCTGAGCAGAATTAAGTCTTTTTTAAAAATATGTCTGTCTTTCTTTCTTTCTTTCTTTCTTCCCTTCTTTTTAGAGAGAGAGAAAGGAGAAGGGGGAGAGAGAGAGAGAAAAAAAACAACAACATTGATCGCCAGGGATCAAGCCCACAGCCTGGGTATGTGCCTTGACTGGGAATCTGCTGGTAACCTTTCAGTGCATGGGATGATGCTCAACCAAATGAGTCACACTAGCCATGACCAGAATTAAGCCTTCTTTTGGCTTCTATAGCACTTTGTGTTGACCTTTCTGATGTAAATTTTTGATTTGTTTTCACAATTTTGTATGGTTCCATCTTAATAGATCATAACTTCCTTGTATATAATAGGTGTTCAAACATTTTTATTGATGAAAATGTCAATAAAAAGTTATTTTAGAAAATGCAGACAAGAAGCAAAAAGAAAATTTTTGTTACCTATACTGCTGAAACCCTAAAGTAGCCACAGGCACAGTATCTCTTTCTATAAATAGCTGAATTATTATTAAGTATAATTATAAAGCTAAACACCGGGTGCTTAATACGTACCTCCTGCAAGTCAGTATGATGAAATGGAAAAAACCTTTGCTTGCTAAAGTTTGTAACAGCCCATAATGAAGTATTAACTAACTTGGGAGGATTGGGACTATGTAACTTAAGAGCACCTAGGTATTTTAAGTTCAATTTTGCGTTCATATAGTGTTTTGAACTTGGTCAACAGTCTGAATTTGTACTAACCATGATGGCTTCTATTAAAAAAAAAGTTTAACTTACCTTAAAAGGGCTGAATTTAGAATGGGTGATTCTTCTCATCCTGCCTTGCTTTAAGGAGGGCCTCTGAATGGGAGAGTAGAAACCTCCTCCTGTGGAGAAAAGACGCCCAAGATGGGAGTCAAGAAATCTGGGTTTGCATCCTGACTTTGTTGCTAACTTACTGGGTCACCTTGGCCAACTAACTTTCCCTCTCTGTAGCTCTGTTGCCTCATCTGTGACATGGGACAATGAAATCTTCCAGCATGAAGAATTCCCTAATTCTCTTGCCCAACTGGGTACTTCCGCTGAAATTCCTATTTCTTAAAATATGGTGAAGTTCTCACTTCAAGGGAGGAAGGTAACTATTTTCTCCTTCAACCTTTTTCTGTTTGATCATATTGCCATAGTTGTTCTTAATTCTGTCACTCCAAAAGTATTTGGATCATTGCTTTTATCTATGGAAAAACTTTAAAACAATCCCCTACTGTACCAGCACACTGCATGTTTGTATGTTTGCCTTGTTAGATATTTATTTGGGTTTCTTTTGCTTCTCGGTTCTGAGAGGGCTGACATTGAAATACCAAAGTGTCTGATTCAGAAGAGAACGGACCTAACAGTATAGTGCACCTAATGTGTTCCTGATGCTTCATGTGCTTTATTCAGTCCCTGCAGTATCCTTGTGGAATGGGTATATTACTCCAGTTTTACAGATGATAAAAGTGAGGCACAGAGAGGTTAGGTATTAGGAATTAACCCCAGCACTGTGTATCTCATTTCAAAATTCAGGCTTCAAGACTATAATCAATCCTCCTACTCTCACCCCCATCCAGGCCACACAACCCCTCTAAATCATCTTTTCTTGGTTAGTATGAAGCCTCTGCTTAATACTTCCAGTGATGGCGAGTTTATTCCTTGGGGGCAGTTCTAATTGTTCAAAAGGTTATCTTAATATGCAATCTACCTTCCTATAATTTTAGCTCAGCATCAACTATGTTTAGTTTCATGTTGATAAATAATTACTAGCACTAATAATAATGTTACTCAGTCTTATAATTAAAGGCCCCTGAGTAAATGGTAGTGATGCGTCATTTCCACAAACATTCATTGAGCCCCTGGAGTGTACCTGGTACCTAATGATGAATGGGATGTGGTCCCTGCCCACTCCCATTTTATAGATGGGAAAACTGGACTCGGAGAAGTTAACTGGCTTAGGAAATGGGTAAAATCCAGAGGAAACAAAATTCTTACCTTGTACAGATTAAAGTTTAAATCCACTAGATACCATATTTTAAAGTATCCCTTTACACTCTCGATTTGGTTATTCTGCAAATCAGATATTGGCCCCACGTGTCAGTAATCTGCAAGCATCTTAAACCTTAACATAATATCCCAAAGCACAGCAATTCAGGGGTGGGCAAAAGTAGGTTTATAGTTGTGCATATGGAACATAATACAATAATAATAATACCAGTATAAACTGTGTTTCATGTATTTGCAAATGTAAACCTACTTTTCCCCACCCCTAAATATTCTTTTTGTGAAAATATTCCAGAAATAGGATTACTTTAGAAGGGAACAACCCTCTCAGCATCCCTCCAAGTTCCTGCCAGCCTTATTTTGAGCGCACAGGTGTTCTCACTGACATCCACCTTCATCCTTACTGGCCTCATTGTTTCCTAGACCCACCCCACAGGTGTCTGCCTTCTGGCCTTTGATCATGTCTGTTCCCTTCAAAGCACCCTCCCCTTCTTCTCTGCCTATGGGAAAGGGTACTCCTGATTAAGGCTGGTTTCTGTTCACCCCACTTCCTCACTACTTCACCTTTGGAATACTTCCCCCTCATTTCAAAGTCATTGCCAGTTCTGGCACTAGTTAGTGACCTTAAACAAATCACTTACACTCTGTTGGCCCAACTTTTCCTTATCTAAAGAATGGGGCAGAATTAGATGGTTTTAAGGTCCGCTGAGGCCCTCAAATGAAAAAGACTGCACCTAGGACAGTGGGGGGTCTTGACCACGTTGAATTGTTGAGTCCTGTCGCAGGGTTGTGACATGAGAGGCGACTTGAAGAGATTCGTCATCAGTTTTAAACTCGGGAGTTGTAAAGTGTTAAACTTATTTAAGAGGCAGGGTGGCTCAATAGAAAGAGGATTTTGTTTAGGGGTCAGGTGGTTCTGGGCTCAAATTTTGGCCCCACTATTGGCTAGCTTTCCAATCCGAGGCAGGGGTTGGATCCTCCCTGACCTTCAGTTTCCTCATCTGTGAAATGGGGACAATAATTCCTGTCTTACTGGTTGTCCCAAGATTAGAAGATGTGTGGCAGGGAGCAGGTTCTTCCACATTAATCTATCCTGCATCCTAAAAACTTTTTGTTTGGGAACTGTTATCTGTCATAGATAATTAGCAAGCTTCAGAACAAACAAGTGTATAAAAGTGTGCTACCTGGATTTATAGCATCTGTAATAGACAGTGTGGATTAGGTGCAGTTTATCTGATCTTTGAAAAGTAGCTTTGGAATCCTTCCAGAGCACCATATGGCACCTGCACGATAGCCGCCTTCCCATCTGCGCTTGCTTTAGGAAGGTGTTTTCCAGTTGGGAGAGAACATGTTGAATATTTGTCTTTAGTGCATTCCAGTGTTCTGAGGCAAAACTTGCCAGAGATTGAGCAGAGCATATTAACCAATATCATTTAAAGTTGATTAAAACTATCATCTTAATTAAATACAAGAGAACAAGAAGTTCTCAGTCTTCTGGTAGCAATTAACGACTAAAGAGTCAATTTGAAGTTGTTTTTGCAACTCTTAAAATAATACTCTCCCCCCCGCCCCCACCATGAAAAGAGTTTCTTAGCTAGAGACATGCCCTCACATTGAGGTTTTTGAAAGCTGTTAGGACCACAAACCTTCTGGCAAAGCCTTCTGCTGCCAAGGCATCAGAGTTCTCAAAAGCAAGAGGGTTCAAGCTCAGGATACGCTGATTTGGAAAGAGAGCCCAAACAAAGGGCCTTTGAGGCAGGAAACTGGGCTTTGGCTTCAGCACAGAGCAATGTGGGGTTGGAAATGCGCCCTGGGACTTGCTGAGTTGAAGAGGGACTAGGAGATCGATGGATGGAGGAAGTATAAAGTTTCTCCATACAGTGAGAGTTTATTTCTAAACCCTCGAAAGTTGGTTTCAGATGCGCTATCTTTCTCCTGTCAGCTTAATCAGCGTGCCTATAAAATGTGGACTTAACCATATTTTGTCTTTGAGCACAAAAGGAAAATTATCTGCAAAGGTCCGCGTAGATGTTACCATTTCAGCCAGGTCGTCGGACTGGAAGACCAATGCTTTTCCTTCAAGACCTAAAGCAACTGCCTTCATGAATTCATTCATTTGCCCACTTAATCATGCAATATTTCTTAATCACCCGTGTATGCTAGGTTGATGTGGCTATGAAGTTAAAAAGATACAGTTCAAGGAGCTCAAAATCTAGTTGACCAAAACTTAAAGATTTGAAGCGAAGGAGATGGTCTTTCCTAATAAGTACTTCTCACTGTGTTCACATACACACGACCCTCTTCTCAGCACCCAACCAGGTTTTTAAATTTGACATTCCCTGAAGTGAAATTTCTTGTACTCATCTTCTGAAGTATTCCAAACAGCAGCAAACTGAGCCACAGAGGAGTCCAGCAGGTTCACTTAGACAAGGGCTAGGAACATGGGGGGAGACTCAGGGATGTAACTCCAGGAAGAGGAAACAACTTATATTCTGGCGGGTCCCAGCCTTCATTTCCCCCCCTGATTTTTATTTTTGTATATCTAAACTTTATCTATTAAGCACTAGTTCATGACTAGAAAAGACCCACTTTCTGTCAACCGCTTAGTAAGATTGAGGGGGGAATGCAACAATAGGAACAACAGGAGGAAAAGAACCATCGACAAGAGAACTTACACTGTGAGGACCTGGGTTGATGGAACCACATCACCACAGAGGATGAGCAGTGACTTTGGGTCACACATTTGGAAAACTGATTCTTCGGGAACAGATAAGGCTCAGAGATGTGAGACAGGAAGGGACATCTTCTCATGAATGAGTGATATTAAATGCTTCCTCTGTGCCCCAAATGTGCTTCAGTCCTATAGCCCATGGCGTGCTATGTATCTTCTGTGTGTCAGGAATCTAAGTTTATTCAGTCTCTGTCTTGTAGTGTTATGTATGTGGCAGTTAACTATATTGTTCCTACACAGCAGTTTTAAATTTGACTTTCCCTGAAGTGAAACTTCTAGTACTGATCTTCCAAAATATTCTAAACAGCTGTAAATTGACCAACAGATAATCTTGGTCAAGCAAATACAAACATACTTGAGTTCACAGGTGCCAGGACATTGAACCTGCAAACAGCTACCCTAACATTAGTCAGATGTCGTCATGAGATCTAAGGATGGCTTTCCCCTCTCTTTGAATTTGCACTGCAATTATATTTATTGATCTTAGAGAGGAAGGAAGAGGATGAGAGATAGAAACATCAATGATGACAGAGAATCATTGATGGGCTGCCTCCTGCACACTCCACACTGCAGTTCGAGCCTGCAACCCGGGCATGTACCCTGACTGGTAATCTAACCTGTGACCTCCTGGTTCATAGGTCATTGCTCAATCACTGAGCTATGCCAGCTGGGCACTGCTGGTACAGTTTTTGACAGCTGGACCTAATCAGAAAAGTCACACTGGCTGATTTATTGAGTAAGAACATTTAGAAGAAAAGTTTCTGGTGTGTTTAAAGATACCTAGGCCACACACACAACTTTTCTCTTTAGTGTGTTTGTGTGGTAGACTAAAATCCAGTGAAAATACTGTATTTCTGTGCATATGTGGAGAGGTATAGATAATAAGTATGAGTTTATGAGAACCCTGACAGTGAAATCTGAAACAAGGACCTCATCTGTTTTCTTCTATATTCCCAACGCCTTACTTGGGGCCTGGTGTATATAACTTGTTTAGTGAAAATTGAACAAAATAGAAAGACCCAGGTCATTTTTGACACTAGCATAAAACTTTTAGCCTTTTTTCTAAAAGGTAAATTTGCTTTCCAGTATTGCTACATCACCACAAATTTGAGAAAAGGAGAAAATCACCCATAATCTACTGCCTGACGCAAACACCATTTGGGCATATTTCCGTTTAGTAATTTTTATTTGATTTCCTGTTGGTTATTTAGGTACATCCTCATATGATTTTCTATGTTGCTAATAGTTACTTTATTTTTATTTGACCAAATGACCCCTGACTATATCATTCAGAATTAAGCATCGTTTATTCCTTTTTGCTTTGCTTTGCCTCATTCCCCCAGACCACAAGTCTCTGGGGGTAGGTACAG